GTGTGTTAATTTTCTAAGTCCTTTTATCGGAAGCATAGTGTTGGAGAGTGAGTCAATTTGTCATCAGAACATTTATAGATGTCCTGCCAGGGGAAATAAGATTAAATGAGCTTGATAAAGCTTTCTAATTGTTACCTTTTAATGGTCCTAAAAATGCCAGGGAGTACTGAAAACAGAAATCCTCTCTATACACTTTAAAGTTATACAACAGGCATTCACTAGTTCCCTCAAATGCTTTCCTGCTCTAAATACTGTTTTGAAGAGTGTACTTTTAAAAATGAAGTTTCCAGAAATCATATCCATGACATTAGCAAGCTAAGAAAACACAGACTAGACAAAAGTATTGTAAGGTAGATACAAAACTGCATGGGCGACTGGTGCCTCCTGAGTCGGGGGGGCACTTGCCCCCGCCCCGGCAGACAGTCAGCAACCGGGGGGTCCCACCATGGCCGATCCCACAGACTGGTGCGGGAGGTCCCCCATGGCTGATTTTACCAACCGGGTGGTGGGGGGAAGGGGGAGTCCCCACCACGGCCAAGCCCAGCTGCTGGCACTTTTGGGTAAGCGTGATCGGCACTAAAGTTGGATCATCATCCTCAATCAGTAGTCCTCAATGGCTCTGTGTCTAGTTAGAGGGAAGATACCAAGTGCAGTTCCCCAGGAGTCAGTCCCAGGCCTGGTATTGTTCAACATCTTCATTAATGAATTGGCTAATGAGATTGAGCGTACATTTAGCAAACTTGGGTGGAATTGTGGACAATCAGGAGGGCAGGTCTTAGATCCAGAATGACCTCGATAGAGTGGAGAAATGGCCCACAGTCAATCAGATATGATTTAATAAGGACAAGTGCAAAGTGGCTTGCTACAGAATAATCACATGCATAAATACAGACTGGGGAACAACTGGCTAGGCTGCAGTACTGCAGTAAGGGACCAGGGGGTTATGCTGGACTGTAAGCAAAATATGAGGCTACTGTGTGCTCTTGGTGAGGAAAAAAAAATGCCCACAGCATCTTGTGTTGTATTAACAGAAGAGTCACTTGCAAATCAAGAGAGGTGATTCTTCTGCTCTATTCAGCACTGGTGAGGCTTCACTTGGAGTACTGTTGTCCAGTTTTGGGCCCTACACATCAAGAAGAATGTGGACAGTTTGGCAAGAAGGTAACAAAAATGATCATGGGCCTGGGAGATGAGACTTATGAGAAAAGGTAAAAGAACTAGGGTTATTTAGCTTAGAAAAGAGAAGACTGAAGGGAAATTTGATAACAGTCTTCAAATACCTTACAGAGAGGATGAAGGTAGGCTTTTCTTTGTGGCTGTAGGAGACAGGACTAGGAGCCATGGCCTCTAGCTGCAGCAGGGGAAATTTAGGTTGGAGATTAGAAGAAACTTTGTAACTGTGAGGGTAGTCAGGCATCAAAATAAACTTCCTAGAGAAGTTGTAGATTCTCCATCCTTGGACTTTCAAAAGCAGGTTATACAGACACTTGGCAGGAACAATTTAGTCAGGGACTATCCTGTCATGAGCAGGGGCCTGGACAAGATTTTATGAGGTCTCTTCCAGCCTTACTTTCCTATGATCCTGTGATAAGGTCATACAGGTGTCAATGAAGGTTGTAACTTCTGCGATGTTAATATTGAACTCCAGAAGAATCTGCGGGTACATCTGCACATGTGCTGTACTGCAGAGTTGACTACTTAGCTCCTCAGGAAAGCGTCACTGTCTACACATGTGCGCGTATTAGGGCAAAGTCAATTAATTAACTCCGCTGTAGGATAGTACTTCCAGGGACAAGTACTATCCCACGGCAATAGGCAGACAAGGTTCTTTGGGTAAATCTGATACCTTTTATCAAACCAACTCAAGTAGTTGGAAAAATTCTTCTTAGCAAGCTTTCGGGTTTGAATACCCTTCGTTGGGCTGAGGAAGTATCTGCAGTTGGTGTGTGCTCTTCCTGGATGGATTGAATAGTGAAGAAGCCAGAGGCTGGTCTGCATGCAAGAAAGCCAGTCAGTGAAGATGTAAATTGAGGAGTCAGTGGGTGGGAGACAGGCTGGGGTTGGGGGAAAGGGGAATGAATGTAGCAGGTAAAAAGTGGAGAGGTATCTGAGGGGTCAGATGTTAGGCAGGCTATAATGTGTCATAAATCCATTGTCTATATTTTGTCCATGATTTTTTGTATCCAGGAGGATGGCAAATGTCATTTTTTGTGACAAAACACATGGGTAGATGGTGACCGGGGCTGGCTGGGGCATGAGGGTACTACAGTGCCTGCTGGCTAGCCCCACACTGTAGCACCCTCATGCCCCAGCCAGTTCCTCTGCAGCACATTAAGCTGGGGTGGAGCAGTACTGGGCTGGCAGGCAGACCTCTGGGGCTCCCTGCTAGCCTCAGCCTGCACTGCCCCAGCTCAGCATGCTACAGTTGTAGATGCACATGTAAATGCTGTGCCCAGAAGAAATAAAACTCTAGTGAGAACTGCGCTGGAGTTTATTTCTGTGTGCTAATTGCATGTGTAGATGCACCCAGGAGGTCCAAGCTGGCAGTGCAGAGACAAGCAGCTGCACTAGCTATAGTCACTGTATGATAAAGGAGGGTGGGAAGGTGAGATTACCTTCTCCCTTTACTGCACCTCAGATGCTATGTGGTAACTGTGCCCTGACTATCCCTCAATAAATGAAAGCTAAACCAGGGCAAACTAGCAGCATTTAATTTGTGCGTAAGCTGCTTCAGTTTAGCTCTCACTAGTTTACATACAGAAGTTACCACAAAGCAGGTAAAGCATGGCAGAGGCTTGTCCCCTATTAATTGTGGACACATAAACAATTATAGTTGTTTTGGTAAGTTTCTGACCCTTGTTGATTAAGGTTGCAAATAGTCTTCCCTTAATTAAGAGTAGGTAGGGATTTACCATAACTTAACTACTCTGAGGTAATCATCCCTGTTGTCTTCAGTTACTTGGTGGTGGGGGTGCTTAGTCCAGGGCAGCTACCCCTGCATGCAACAGAGTTAAGTTGCCCTGATTTAGCTTTTACTGACCATGGGGTAATTGCACGCGCATATATATATATAGAGAGAGAGAGAAACAGCTGCCTAGAAGAGATTTTTTTCTTGATATTAAAATAAGTAAAAAATAGGAATCGAATAACAAATGAATAAATTAATTTCACAGGGTTTTTTCTGAATAAAGTCTTCATTTCCTATTATATATAGGCTTTATCAACAATTTTATGTTTTAGAATGAAAACAAAAGAAGTTGACAGCTACGAAAGTGAACTAAAAAAACTGGAGCATGCAAATGACATTTTACAATCAAGGTAATTTTCAAAATCATTTATACATTATATACAGAGCAAATTATTTTTATTTTATTGCTTTAATATTTCTCATATATGATCAGCATGTTTATTACTTTTAGTTTATGTATTTTTTATTTCTGTATTTGAATGATCGCTTGGTTAACTTCACACAGAGCCGGCCTTAGGAATAACGGAGTCCTGGGTGAAATTGTATTTTGGCTCCCCCACCCCCAGTAGCTCCAACCCTCCCTCAAGTCAGCAGTGCTGTTGCAGGCAAAGTCAGGTGGGCAGGGCTGTGGGGTGCAGTCCAGTGGGGAGGCAGAGCCACCCACACTGCGCAGCTCAGCTCTAGCAGGGGTTGGAGGTGGGAGGAGCAGCCTGGGCTGGGCACCAATCCTCCTACCTTCAACTGGAGTGGGGCAGGGGGGAAGTGCTGCTCTGTGTGTGTGGGTGTGGGTGGGTGACTAGCTCTGGCTTCACAAAGATGTTTCCAGTTTTCTTCTTACTGTGCTTTTGCTTTTTTGGTATTTTGTAATTTTTTTTCCCAAGCAAACGTTCTTTCAGGAAATGTAGTTCCCACCTATAAATAAACACAGTATCTACTATGTCCTGGTAATTTCTTTAAATTTGTTTTTAGGCTTACTAATGATTTAAAAGAAAAAGAAGAGTCTTTGCTAGTTTGCCAACAAGTACGTAGTCATTTACAGGAAGAAGTGGCAGAGAAAGAGAGACAAGGAGAAGATCTAAAAAGAAGAACTAATTGTTTAGAGAGTGAACTGCAAACAATGAAAAATCTTCTTAGACAGAGAGAAGAAGAAGTGGAAATGCTAAAAAAAGAAAGGTAATCAGAAATGAATTGTTGTATATGATGTATGATGGGATGTTTTGCCTAGAATTTCTTTCTGAGAATATCTTTGAAGTAAAGGTCCAATCTTCAGACCTCTGCCAAAAAAGAAAAGAAATCATCACTGTGGAGTGCTGTAAGATCCTATTAAGGTTGACACAAGACATGGCACACTATTGCTAACACCTACACGATTGATTCACCACGATTGATAAACACAAAGTTTTCAAATAAAAATCCATAATACAATATAACACTATTTTATGTGTGTAGAGAACTTAGAAAATCACACTAGGTTGCTTCTGTTAGTCAAGCTGGACCATTGTAGCCAAGGCCCTTCTTTGCATACCGTCTTACTCTACTTTGGTATATGGTCTGTTGGTGTCTGACAGTTAAAAAAATGGTGGGGAAGCCTGATATTCGTGAGATCTTGTGTCTCCATTTTTAACCAAAATCAGTAGGGATGAGTGGGCTGAGTAGCCTGATCAGAGTTGAGTGCTAAAGAGGTCCATTTGGGTGCTTAAAGGGTTCACACTCTAAATTTTAGGCAAGAAAACACAGGATCACTATATCTAGATGCCTTTCTGAACCTTGCCCATGGTTAAATTTATATATGCAATGAAGTGCTATTCTGAGCTAGGAGGGATTTAAATTTGTGTGTGTGTTTTTTGTTTTTTTTTCCTGAAATAGAGTCTTTGAGTGGTAGAGTCTGGCATTTAAGATTCAGCGGTGCTATTCATTGCCTCATCTATCATTTAGTTGTATGCTTCCATAAGCAGATTTCAAAAGGAAGAGTTATGTGCCCTGGGGCACCATACTTGGAATGGAGACCTCAAGGTTCACAGCAACTACCATGCTATGAGGGGAAGTGCAGAAGAGGAAGTGCTGAGATCCCACCTCTCTCCTTTGAAGTCTTGAATTGTACATTCCTGATAGTGGGGATTCAGTGGGGTAAACCCCTGCATTGATATGGACACACAAATAATTATGATGTCATAGGGATAACGGAGACCTGGTGGGACTCCACCCATGACTGGACCATGGGTATAGATGGCTATACCCTGTACAGGAGGGATCATGTAGAAAAAAGGGGGATGGGGTTTAGCTCTCTGTTAAGGAAAGCTACGTGTCCCTGCAAGCTGATATTGGTGACCAGGGTGGATGACTGGAGACCCTCTGGGTTAAAATCCATGGGGAACACAGCACAGGGGACACAATGGTGGGAGTCTACTACAGACCTCCCACCCAAAGTCCTTAGTTTGACCAGGAGTTGGCCTGGGAACTGGCTGAAGCCGCATGCTCCAGGACCATGGTTGTCATGGGTGACTTCAATTACCCGGACATCTCGTGGGAGGACCACTCAGCAAAATTCGAGCGGTCGCAAAGCTTCCTCTCATGCGTGGATGACCTCTACCTGACCCAAGAAATCTATGGGCCAACGAGAGGCAAAGCGCTGCTTGACCTGGTACTGGCTACAGGGGATGACCTAATCGGCGACCTAGTGATCGATGGGAAGCTGGGTGACAGTGACCACGAGCTGATCACCTTCACCATCTGCCATAAAGCTGGCAAGTCAGTCAGCAACATGGAAGTCCTTGACTTCAGGAAAGCTGACTTTGACAAGCTCAGGAGGCTGGTCATTGAGGCCCTAAGGGACCATGACCCCA